ATATAAGCCAGACTCAAACTGTTTGAGGGGGGAAGTAGCAGACACACATAAGCCACTATTTATTTCCAGTCCTCATAACAAGATACCTGATACAAGCAAGATGAAGAGAAATGCAAGGATTCAGTGTATAAGCATGGGAACTCACAAGGATGAAAGTTGGAAGGATGGCAGAAAAGGAAGGGGGAGGGTGAAAACACATTAATTTGGTTTTCAGCTCAAAGGTTCCTCTCATTTTTTCCCAGGTGAATGCACTGTTGTTGCCACACAGAGACCTGGACAGCTCAGGTGTTCTGTGCTTCAATCACACTGATTTTTAACTAACCAGTTCCAGGAAGAGGACCTTCGATCAGGAGAATTTATCGCTGCTGGTGAGCAAGTATTTCTCATTCTTAACTCTCCTTAATACAGCAGTGAGGTTTGGTTCACAAATACCTTACAAAGTTAGTTATTCAAAAAGACAATTGATAGATGCATAGAGATTAGCTAGCAAATGGCAGAGAGTTGAAGGAATTCCATATGGCATTGTCTGTCATTTTTTTCTCCAAATCAATTAACTAATGTTGCATCATGTACTATCAAAAATTCAGAATATTAAATTTAAACTTCCTCCAGATGCAACTCCATAAATTATACTTCCAAACCCCTATTGATTTTCAATAGAATGCTAATCAAAGCTTCAGATAAATATACCTGTGATTTGAGGAGATTTACATTTTGGTTTTCTTATGAATACATAATGAAAGAAAGAACTGAATTGCACATTCCATGTCTGCTTTAGAAAGACATTATCTGGGGCGATTTCAATGCCATATCTATTCATGCTTAAATATAATTTTACCATGTTAATAGAAATGCTAAATTTGATTTTTAATGTCTGATTGGTAAACTGATACTAAAGGTAGTTGCTGATTTTCAAATAGAGTTGCTACAAACACTCATTTTTCAAGACTATGGAAGTATGGTGTAATGATTTGCTTCAGCCGACTGAAGTTAGTCATTTGCACAAATATGGGGAAAACATGAATGAAATTTTTTTTGAGGATTTATTCAAAAATCCTCATCCCCAGGATTAAATAAAAATTACAGTCTGTCCTTAGGAAACACTGGAAAATGTCTCATTTTCTTATTAAACATCAATAATCTCCAATCATCAAATTACTGTGCATAATAAATAAGCTACAAAGGAGACTCCTTTCTAAAACTCAGTCAAGAGTAGCCAGCATGAATGAGTCTAGTGGAGTATGTACAACAAAGAACAGCTCTACAGTTGTGATGCCATGTGCAGGTAAAGGGAATCATTTCATAACACAACTGAAGAGAAAAATATTATAATGAATATACTATATATTTTAGCAACCTAGGGAAATTTTTCAGAAATGTGAGATTCTTACTACAAGATGATATTTTTTTCCTAAATTTTTGCATATTTTATTATACAAAATTTTCTCCACATGAATACAATGCTTTTCTCGGATTCAGATTGCCAGTTATTGGAAATGGAGTTTTAATTTGTTCACAAGAAATTTAACTGCTAACAGTGATTCTGTAATGTTAAGATATTCATTAAAGCATCCCTTTTCCTGCTTCTGAGTCCTAAAAAACATGAACCTTTTCCTTCTGCCAGGAGTCATAATTCCGTGCTAGATATCATTCCTCCAAAAAATGGAGTCTCCAGTGAGAACTGATAAGACTGGGTGGTATTCTGGGCTATATGCATTACATTTTTAACTCAGTTGAAACCATCAGGTATCCCCCTGAATATCAGAGTTTTCATGCCTAAATATGTTTGTACGGGACAGAAAGACCTATCAATTAAAAAAAATATAGATTTTAATGCTTTTTCCTCAGCTCTTGCTTCTGTTCTCTGACTTTTCTCAAGGACAGACGTTACTAAATTTCTTATAATGATCTTTGTCAAGAAGAGAATACTAAAGCAGCCAGGAGCACAGAGGAATTGTTCTATTCAGAAGGACTTCAGCTGAAATTCAGTGTAAAAAAAGCTGTGAAGAATAGGGAAAATTTTCAAGTTTTCATTGCGAGAAACTGTTGAAAATTTCTTTGATATTTATCTCACAGTCTTTAACATCCTGGTTCACAGAGTGAAGACTTAAAAAATTATGGCAATTTCAACATTTTGGATGGATTTGCCAATTTAAAATGTATTTTAATTGGAGAAAAATATTTGCCAATTTTCCTATTTTATTAAGGAGGATATCATGAGACATCTTTTGCCAAAAACCCCCACCCTAATATATAAAAAAAAACCCTATGCTGTTATGTTTCACTGAAACTAAGAAACCTATAGCATTGTCTTTCATTTTGCATTTTTCTCACAAAAGCTGGCATTTCTAGAAATAACCAAAGCTTTCTCTGAAGTATAGATTGTTAGAATGCCACTAACACATTGATTTACACTATGCCAGAGGAAAAATCCATGTGACTAAAGTTGTTGCTTTGTTTTTCAGTTTCCTTGCTGCATTGAAAGGGAAATAATGCTCCATTCAACATTGGCCTTGTCCCTCCTGCTAATTGCAGTCACTTCCAACCTTGCAATGGCAATTAAAAAGGAAAAACGAGCACCTCAGACACTGTCAAGAGGTATTGTAACTTTACTGTATGTAGATACCTCATTACCTCACCATATAGGCCAGCAAGTGTTTTTCTTTTAAACGTACATTCATACTTACTGAGGTGTGTTTCTCTAGTGTTAAGTGATACTCTGAGTAATGCATGTTCTTATTTCATGTCATTTCACTCCATCACTTTATTTTTAATGATATGACTGAGGGCCTCATATAAGCTGCATGATTTATGTAACTCACACTGACACAGTAGAAGCAAATAACCCAAACTGAGTCTCTCAGATCAGGATGTAGGACTATCAGTGAAAAAATATTCTTTCATATACCATTTGAGAGATATTTTATTATGGCAACTTACCAACTGCTGAAACAGTTTCACAACTTCAGTTGCTATGGCACGATTTTTCTACAGACCCATTTTTGTACACAAAACCATTTGAACCATTTGGTGTGGTTTTCTGTGTGACTTTTTTTTTCCTTTTGATTTTCATCAGATATCCACTGCAAAGCATGACTGTGAGTAATTCACTTCCTTCTGGTGCATAATTTTCAACCTGGATGTTAAATAAAGACTCCAGTTTAAGTTATTTATGTCTGATCAATCCTTAGAAATACAAGCAGAAAAAAAAGCTCAGGAAGCTCTTTTCCCCTTCTCCATCTTCCATCTCCTTTTGGAACTATTAAGCACAAAATATCTCCATCTCCCTTCCTGACCTCTTCTGCAAGCTGTGCAAGCCTGCACATCCCATGGCTCACCTCTGAGGTTTCCTTTTTCTGGCAAAGTTGCACATGTCACAGAGATTCCATATGAGCCTAATTGCTTCAAGACCGCTGGAGAAAATTATGTAACACCTGGACTACCCAAAGAGAAATTTCAAATCACTTTTTGTAAGCAGTATCCTGGGAGAAAATTTATAATCAACCCAATATGTAGATCAGGATTTATTTTTCCCACTAAGCCCAAATGCACAGGAAGACAGCAAAACCTCTTACATTCTGGTGGTTTAAAAAAAAAAAAAAAAAAAGCAGTGACAGAAAGCAGGTGTCACTCTTCTAATTGTGATTTCAGGCCCTTCAGGATGCCTTGCACACTTTACAAGTAATTTTCACAGATCAAAGGGGAATACTTAAACCTGCTCCAGAATGACTCCTACTCCTCTGCGTAAATGCCTTCAGCAGCACCTGACTGCAGCCAGGGTTGGGAAGGCATCAGTCAGCAGGCCAGAATCCCACCATCAGCCAGAAGGATCTGTTTACTGAAGGAAGAGGTGATCCAGTAGCATCACAAGCAATTGTCCTGTGAGAAATATAAAAGCAAATCTGGGCTGGTCCCAGCACTGTCCAGACAGTGCAGAAGAAACAGAGTTCCACCCTGGTCCAAATCCAGAAACTGTTCTACAGTTCCCATGAGGGCTGTCATGAATGGAGCCACACTGCCTAGGATGCAGGGACCTGCTACACGGAGGTTGACATCTTTGGGAGCTGAAGGCGTGAAACCAACTGGACAATTTGCTTTTTAAGATCTGCGGTACAGATGAGCTATAAAGCTGATGATTCATTGGAATTTTGTTTCGGCGTCGATTTTTCTTTAACAGTCATTTTTTATGAAATTATTTAATTAAATTACGTACTTGCAACTCCAGGGACTGAAGTTCATTACTTTGGAGTTAGATTTATAACCCAAGACTGTTCTAATGACATTCACATTAAAGCTGATCTCATTTGAGCTGTCATATTTTATTTTTCTCTCTTTTGTATGCCAGCTTCTCTTTAAGTCCCAGGGTCTACATGAAATATGGAGCAGACAACATAAAGATAAAAAGGATTTGGGATCTCATTTAGCAACCTCTGAGCATTTAGAAAGTTAGCCAGCTAGTCTGTCAAAGGACTTGAGCTGGATACACAACCAGCTGAGATTTTTGGGGGGGGTGGTTGTTTGGCTGGAGTTTTTTTAATCTTTCAGTGTACCTATCAGGAGATGTAGAATTAGTATATCCATAATGTTAGAGAATCTTTGCCTAAAAAAGTGAAATCTTATCTGTGTACAAGTGTCGATAAACATTTAAAAAAAAAAAAAAAAAAGGAATTTAATCCTCTTGTCATACTTCTAGGATGGGGAGATGAAATTACCTGGGTGCAAACTTATGAAGAAGGGCTTTATCAAGCAAAAAAAAGGTAAGAGATTTAAAAGTAGTATGAAGACAAAGTTATTACTCTGACGTGCTGAAATAGACTATAATGATGCAGAACAAAGAAACACCATGACAGCTGATCTGCAGACCACCCAGCTAAATAAAACAGACTGTGTCTATAAATAAAAGCCCTTGTAGGAATCTTATGACTCTGAAGTAACTTTACAGGCTGACGATGTAATGTTGTCATTTCTTTGTCGAAAGAGCAGTGTTGTCATTTGAATTAACAATGATAAATAGATACCATCTATTTTTTCAATTACATCTGTTGTGTTTAAATATCATGTACCTTTGATTACTTCCTTGAAATCAGTTGCATTTGTTCTTCATGGAGATATGCTGCCTCTGATGTTTTCCACAACACTTTATTAGTTGGAATATGTCCATGATATACTCACAGCTTCTCACTGTCTTGGCAGAAACCGCAGTTCCAATCCGAATCTTCTCTGGAACTCAGCTGAAAATATATTTGGGAATTCAAGACAACGCTTATCTAAATATCTTTTACAGTTCATTTTAGATCACAATTAGTGTAGTATAAGCTATTGCTAAATTGAAGGCAAATTATTTTTAAAATAAAAGACAACTGATACCATATACCCTAGGTGAAAATGGCTACAAACAAACAACTCTTGACAGTGATAGCAGACAAAGGATTAGTAACTGTTTTGCTGAACAGTAAATATAGTTTTAAAAAAATACAGGAGAAAATGCAGAGAATTTTTTTTTTGACATCCCAAATATAAAATTTTGATACTTTACTAAAATATTTACAAAAAAAAATAATATACTGTTTACCTATTCAAGAAAGAAAGCTTAGAGCACATGAAACTTTTCATGGGGAGTATTAGATGATAAACCAAATCTTATAAAAATTATTTATTCCTGTTCATACAGAGTATTTTTATTTTCTTAATCATGGAGAATTCATAAGTAAGCAACATTAAATAGCTCTTCAGTTTGATTATTTACCACCTGGGAATGAAATAATAAAGGAACTGTTGTTTCTTTCTTCTGGAATCTCTTACTATAGACAACTTATTTAGATATAGAAACTCTATTTCTCTTTTATGAAGTGTTTATGCTCCTTTCCCTTGCTCAAAAATGTCTGTAATATTTTACAGAATGTCTGTATGGTTTTACTGTGGGATAACATAAGTTTAAACACAACTTATCTTTTTCAGTCTGCTAGTAAAGTCACCCATTTGCATACTTGTCAAATCATCTAACTATATCTTTTATTATTATTAATAAAGTAACAAGCCACTGATGGTAATTCATCATCTGGAAGACTGTCAATACTGCCAAGGTAATTTTGATTTTTTGTGTGTTAAAATGTTGTGAATATTTTTATAAGAAACTGAACCTACCTATATATTTACCTTGCACTTAGTGAAAATTATTTAAAGAAACAGTCAAATGAAAATATATCTGAAACTCAAAGAATTTATTACTGTTATTTACAAAAACTCCACTATGTAACTACCCAATAAAGAATATGAAAAATACTCAGCGCTGCTGTACTGCTATCCCAAATGCAGCACTCATCAGTTTAAATTAAGAGGCAGAGATTTGCTACTGACTTATTGAACAGATTTAATATTGTTTGGGTCTCCTGAACTGGTAACTAAAGAAGGAGGCGAGGATAGGGCTGCTGAAATTGATCTAACAAGAATTTTCTGAGAATAATGCACTTCTGTCAAGCCAAGCCACGGTATCCATTGAGATGACAGGCTTCATAAATAACAGAAGAGAGCTTCCATTTTCACAGCCGGGAGGTTGTACTGCCATGGGTCAAAAAACCCCCAAAAGCAGTGATAGAGACTTTAAGCGTCTCCTCAGGAATGTGAATCAGCAGAGACAGGAACAATGTGGCCAGTCTCTGACCAATGTGGTGCCCAAATGCAGAACGAAAGGCAGAGTTTGAGATGGACTTCAACGTTTATTCTGTCTTTTCTAGCACTGAAGAAAGCTTTTGCAGAAAATGAAGAAATACAGGAAATGGCCCAAAATAACTTTGTTATGCTGAATCTCATGGTATGAAGGGTTTGGGGCGATTTGACTGGTGTCTTTTTATGGTCTGTGTTTTCTCTGTCTTGCTTTTTCATGTCATTTTAGCTAATATGTCTGGCATTTTATTTATATAAGTAGAGGTACTTGTGCATGTGTATTCACACACAAGTAATACCTATCCAGTTTTGTCCTCTGGTACATGGTTATTCACAGGTGGTACTACTCACCAAAATTTACAGAAATATTTTAATAAACAGCTTTAATTTTTCTACCAGCATGAAACCACAGATAAAAACCTCTCACCTGATGGACAATACGTGCCTCGAATCATGTTTGTAGGTATGTACAATATTTATATATCTTCAAGGTTGTGATATCTGAATTATGCCAGTGTCCTCCTTTGGGGGCATCAGAATGACTCATTTTGCAAAAGGTAAACAGCTCATTGCCTCTGTTGCATACTTTGACCCTTGTAAACTTCCTTAAATCAGAGATGTGTTCCGAAGGGTACCTAACTTTGACCTGGGGACAAGATGTTTAAAAATCTATTAACATCTGGGCTTTTGCTCTTAGTGCTTCTTGCTAGTGCTGTTACAAGACAAAGTTTACTGAAAAAGTCAAATATCCGACCGAATGTAGATGTCTAAAGTGTGGATATTACCACAGAATAAATCAATAGTTAGTGGCATCTAAGGAATGATTTATCCCATTGTAAAGCAGGCTTCTGGAAGGGATCAAATTAATTATGCCCCAGAGTGCCTGTTCATTTTCAGTGATTGTACAGGGAGCCTAGAGTGACCAGCTCTTTGGTGGCAGCCAAAGTTCAGTGAGATGAAGACCACAGTCAGACAGAGAGCAGTGCAGTTACAGGATTCAGTTAATTACAAAAAAAGCTTGGAAGGGAAACTGGAAGAAGATATGTCCACAACAACCTATTTCCATGCTGGGAATATTACATATCACAAGATTTTCATTCTGAAGTCTCTAGGCAGGTCATGCTAACATTGCATTAGGGATGCATGACCCTCACTGTGTATGCATCCAGTCAAATTAGCCTCTCCTGATGTAAACCCAGAATTTGTAAAACAGGATATTTTCCTTCAATTATGGATGAAATGCATGTGTAACCTAGCACTTAAAAATAGCTGCATAATACAAAAATGAACACAAGCTTTTGTTCAGGATTTCTCCAAGTAAAGAGCAGTTGTCTGGAACAGAGCATAACAGCCTCATAATTGCCTCGTTGATGAAATCAGAAACAGGGCTGACAAAGCAGTGCCACACCATCACCCACAGCTGTTGTGGGAATGGAAGGCAATGCTTAATACAATTACTTTTCCAGACCCATCTCTCACAGTACGAGCTGATATCACAGGAAGATACTCCAACCGGCTCTACACGTATGAACCACAAGACATACCATTCCGTAAGTGCCCCCTTTGCTGTGTTTGCACTTCACATTGCAAGCAACCAGATACCCCATCCCAATCATTTGTGCGTGAGAATCCAGTAGGATCTCAAAGTAAGGAATGTGCATGAGCGCTTGCAATAAATTATAATGCTCTAACCTGTTCAAGCAGAACAATCACACCTATTGTCCCATTGAATTTATTTGGACTACTCAGGTAAGAAAAATTGAAAGATCATGGGTGAGAACTTTCAGGATCAAGATCTGAGCAGTTTGCTGAAGAACAGTGAAAGTTATACTTATGCAAGTCATACCTGGACACTCAAAAGTATCCAACTGCACAATATAAATAGCCAGTGGTGGGAGGGAATCAGTAAAGAAATGCTGGTGCTTACCTCGGTACCACCTAACACACATATTTCAGAGAGGAATGTGATTTTTCAGGTTTAGCCAGTTCTTACCCTATACCACCTATCTGACACCAGTACAATAGCTCACCACAAATATGCACATCACATCTGATTACCAGGCTTGTTGTTGAGAAAGGAGGGAGTTGAAAGGAGCCTTGTCAAATCTCTTTAAGTTAAACATTCTGATTCATTAAACTTTTTACCTTCTGCTTTAGCAACAATGCCAGAATTTTCACAATAGAAAGCTCTAAAATATAATGTGTGACTATAAATAATTTCAATGTGAACAATTTACTAAATCAAAGTAGGAATTTTTAATTGTACGAGTGCACTTTTAATACATTTTTACAGTTCTTATTTAATTTTCTTTCAGTGATAGAGAACATGAAGAAAGCACTACGCCTCATTCAGACTGAACTGTAACCAGCAACAGTGAAATTACCAAAACCTCTACGAGGTGAAGCTGCACCTCTGTCTCTACTAGAATTTTGAAATCTTACCAAGCAGTTTGGTATATCAGATTTCTTAAGAACAATTTGGAGAACAAATACAGAAAGACTATCATACCCATTTGCAAAACAAGAGGAGAAATATATTAAACACTTTTAAACTAGTTATCTGAATAACTGAGAGTGATGGTTTAAGGTGCAGAAACTTTGAGCTGTACTTTATCAATCCAACTCTGACTCTATTAAGTCAGTTATGACTTCTGACCAGGAATTATAAACAACCTTTTGGATCTCTATTTGCAATTTACTACATAAGTGAATAGCTGCATGTTGGCTCCCCATCTTAATTTTTATTGCAAGAACCTTGTTAGTTGTTGGTGTACTTTTGCTTTATACACTTATTTCTCTTTAAAAGAAAATAAACTTTGGTATCAAATCAGACAAGAAAGCTCTTCTGATAGATTTCGGAATAGCTTATACAATAAAAAAACAGTTATCTGGGCTTAGCTTTCCCCTGTATAATCCTTCAACTATTGTTCTGATAGCTGAAAATAGGACAGACATTCCAGATTGAGCATGTGGTCTCAGTGAGGTGATAACCATCAAAGAGCAGCTACAGGTTTTGCTATGATAAAGATACAATGAAGCAAGAGAGATGGAAGGAGATAATCCCAGAACTCCACTCCTAAGTGAGGATAAGTGACGCGTGTAAAGTCTGGTATGGGAAAAATGAGGAGGCTTGTTCTAGCTCCTTTCATCTAAACAGTGCATTTGAGTCATGGAAATCTCATCCCAGATCATTCCCTCTTTCTGTAGCATTCCGTTGTGAAGGTGGCAGCTTACTGAGAGAATCTGTACATAAAAAGCCTTTGCAAAATTTCCCTAGGATTACTGTATGCAAGGGTGGACACCTGTTTGAGCAAAAAGCTGATTCTTAAAGATTCAGATCCAGGCCTTTTGGTGGAGCTAGATATTCAGGTAAAAAAAACTCTGTATGTTGCACACATACTTCCAATATTCATCCTTAATTTTAGTGCTGTAAATATATTTCTATCTTCTCCTCTTTGAAGACCATTTTTCCAGGTAATATTTCTCTTGATGGAGCAGACACTCGGATCTCAGATTAAAGTCCCGTTGCTCCAGGAGAGGATAATAAGTCTGTAACCTGTGCAATAACCCATGCAACTCCTTCCCCTTTTTTCTTCTGAAATAAACAGTATAATAAATAGCATGATACACTGCTCCCTCTTTTCTTCCCTTTCTGTGCATGCAACACAGATTTATTCACAATATTAGTGGGCAGAATTTTATCCATATTCTTTACTTCCCTTTTTCTTAAGAAAGAGTTGGAAACTGGTCCTTTTGTTCCTTGGTTATCTGGAACTAAACCAACCAGGTTTGTTTAACCTCCATTGTTTGTGTTAAAGTTGAAGGAGGAGAAAATAAGACTGAAAATGGGGATGTGAGAGCAGAAGTTGTTTTGCACTTAATAAATTCAGTCACAGTATAAAGACCAATAGCTGAGAAAACCTACCTGGGCAGACTGTGTGCTCTTACAGAATTCATATCCTGTATTCTATATGTTGGATGTTAATATTAACATGAGCATAATACAGCATCACCTGTGGATGTACGTGTTTTACACAAAAAGACTTCTGTGAGTCCTGCCTTTACTGTGAACACGACACATTCTGGGAAGCAAACTTTATTGCCACTTGTTCACATATCCGTGTCTACTTTACTGTCTGGATTTATCTGCTGTAATCAGACCAAGAGTAGTCAAACAAACATGGCCTTAACGTCAGCGAGGTGAGGCACAGGAATCTGAGAACTGACAGAACAGGATCCTCCCCTATGTATCCGTCTCAGCGCAGAAAGGCGTTGCCTTTTCCAGACAGATGGCTGATCTATTGGTCTGCAGAGCTAAAACATTTTCCCGTGTGCAAATATTTGCGCTTGACCAGAACAAAAGAAAAGGCACCATACCTTTGTGTACCATGGAGGTGAGAGACTGTGGGACACCTCAGCACTTAAAATGCAAAAGTAACTTGATCTTGTAGAATGAGACTGATATAATTTGGCTTGTTTTGTGTACTACACATGTTCTAGCCAAAAGCTGACACAGAGAAATTTCCAAATGCTGAGGTGTCCTCTGCAGGATCAGCCAAGTCATTGATCTGCTTCCTTTTGTTTGTTCCTTTGTTCAAATGGATGTACAGATCTACAGTATGATTCAGGTGGAAATAAATAGTCTGTGGCAATTAAAAAAACCAAAACCACCAATCAGAAGGGGAGGAACATTTACTTTTTCATCAGAAAATCTACAGAATTTGCAGTCTATATATTTATTGCCTTTTTTTTTTTTTTTTTTTTTTTTTTTTTTTTTTTTTTTTTTTTTTTTTTTTTTTGATTTTCAAGGTTCTCATGTTCATCACTTGTTATCTTTGGTTGCTACTGTGTATTGTAAAGTAACTGACCCACTAGTCAATAGAAGTGAATCTTCAGCAGGCTGTTTTCTCTTAGGAGGTATCAGTTATTTGCTGATCTCTTCAGAATAAGGTAAGACACACAACAACAGCTTCTCCTATCTTTGTATAATATGAAAGAACCCAAATACAGTGGACTCATCCTTTAGCACATGCTGTCATATCAAGCACTGCATTTTGACATTTCCCAGTAATTCCAGCTCCTTCTGTTCTTTAGTAGACATTCATCAAGTCACCCTTTGTACACATGTAAGTATGACTTGCAAGGAAGAGAAAAGATACCATATGCAGTAATTTTTCAAGGTTATAACACTCATGTAACAACACTCCTCATGGAGTGTTTTGGTGCTTAGACTTGGTCACTCCTTCAGGAAAGAGCCTAAAAGTGCTTCAAAAAGACCCACTGTGTCTTCTGTTACCTTTCTGAGGTCTCACTCCTTACTGCTTTGCACGCCCTGGCTACATGTCCTCAAGTAAGTGTTTGTAAAAGGTTGGCACACATGAACACACCCTGTTATTTAGCGTTCAGCCAGCTGCAGAGAAACAAGTTCCCAGATATATACAAACCACTGGTTTCACTGCTTATGTTCACATACAGGGAAGAGGACAGGAACTGCAAGGAGAAGAAGTTATACCCTAAGGTGAGGGTTATTGTACAGGATGAAAAGAACAGGAGCCTTGCTTTGCTAAGGGTTTGGGGTTTTTTGCTTCAAGCCTACAAGCAGGTGTGTCTGTGATTTTAAGCAGCTCTTGAGCACTTCTAACAGAGCACCATGAGAATGGAACAAAAGTTCACATCTTCAAGACCTTCACTTGGAAGACAACTCCACCTCCAATAGACCTTACTGTTATCAAGTACTTTCACATATACATTCCCACTAAGAAGGATTTTTGCCCTAATTGAAAAAAAATATTCCCTCATGGCCTCAATGGCTTGGTTCTCATTAATTCATATACCCTCTACCTTGACAGAAGAAAAGATAAAAATTTCTTAATCCCATAATGAATTCCATAAAGGGAATTCAAAGATTCAGAGCAGCAGTTACCCTGGGCCTGGAGACTTAATCTTTCCTTTCCTGGAAAAACGCCCTTTCTTATTTACCTGCCAAACAAATGAATACACAGGGAGTCATACTCCAGTGAAAACCTATTATGGGCTGTCCTGCATTCTTTGACTAAAGATATGGGATATGGAACAATTCCATTAAAGAGAAAGAAGCCTTTAGTGTTTGTTTGGTTGTTGTTTATAAAAGCCAAGAAACATCTCTGTTGATATCTCACGGAAAATTTTAAATTAATAAGTATGATTTCATATGCTATTTCTAGAAGGCAACAGTGCAAGTGTTGCACTTAAGAACCTCTCTTAAGTGTTTATGTGGTATCCACTATATAAACACCAGTGACTATGACAACAGGGGATACCTCGAGGCTGCCCTTCCTGACCAAAGGTGTTGTCTACACAGATGTTGAAATGAGCTTGTACAGCCCTAGGTATAGCTATAGGGCATTTCTGGAGCCCAAAGGACCAAACACCTTAAGCATTAGGCAAAGCTGTATCCACTGGCAGGTGTGCTGCCTGAAGGTTCCCTATGATACGGAAGTCGCATTAAAGAGACTGACAGCTCCTTTGGTTATTTACCCTAAAGAGAGTCACAGGAGCTAAGGATGCTTAGTTTTTATGCTAAGCATTTTATACATATTTTTATACAGAATAAACTAAAACATAGGCAGGTTAAGATGACACAAAAAGCATGTAGTCAGACAAGGAACTGAACGTGCATTTATCCAGCTAATATGGATTAAAATAAGCAGAAACTAATTAGCACTGCTTCTTCCTGACTGTTAAATGTGTTCAATTTGTCATCCGAATTCTTGAAATTAAGAGGGGAAAAAGTATTGTGCTGAGGAAAATAAAAGAGAGCATCCACAGTTTTGTAACCGACACACAAACCTTAAAGCCTTTTCTTCCTGCAGTGAAGCAAATCAAAGGATACGTGTCCTTTGAGAGAGAGGATGACTCACCAAGAAGGCTAAAGAAAATTCTTCCTGCTATATAGTTTCATAACATGGCCTGCTGAGCAATAAAACCAGTATCAACATCTTTGAGAAAGAGTAGATTCCCAAAATACTTGTGGTAAACATAATTCCACAGTGCTAGATGGTAAAGGTTTTTTAGTAGCTACCATGTCTCCAGGTAAAGTTAAAATTCATTTAAAGAAGAAACTGTGGGTCCAAGATTGACAATAGCAAGTACTGCCAGTGACAGTAAATACTCTGGCATTACATACACATATAAATGTGTATATTTCAGTCATATAGACCTAATATATTTGTGGTGGTATGCTAATATATCATAGAAATAGTCAAACTACATAGGGACAACATAGGCAAGCTGCCAAAAAGATGTGAGGCTGGTAGCCACATTTTGAAACAGCAAAGTTGAAAACCAAGTAAAATCTGCCATAAAAATAACTATTATAATTTAAAACAGTCCAGGGAAAAATAAAAAAAACTCATCTATTTGTATGCACAATTTCTGAATGCATTGGATACACATGCAAAATCTGGAATAAAAAGTGTACTCCTAAAGGTATTTCATTTATGGAAGTGTAGATTGCTTTGC